TACTTGTACTTCTCCAATTTTGAAAAAAAACAGAAGTTCCCACAATTGCATTCTTTTTTAAAAAAATTATTGAATGAATTTAGAGATAGGGGAAGGAAGGGAGAGAGAGACATCAATTTCTTGTTCCATTTATTTATGCATTCATTGGTTGATTCTTGTATGTGCCCTGACCAGGGATAAACCTGAAACTTTGATGTATTGGGACAAGGACATTGTAACCAACTGGGCTATCCGGCCAGGACTCTTTTGCCTTTAGATCATAAACTTTTTCTGAAGTTCATTTGGAAGAATAGCTTAGTCATGATAGAATGAAAATTACAAAAGGAAAAATAATGAACAATTTGCCCTCTTAGATATAAAATGTATTAGAAAGCAACCTTCATTAAAATATTGTGGAACTGGCACAGGAACACACAGGAAGATCAATGGATAAATGGATACAATGCAGAAACAGATCCAAACATACAATGAGTGGCCAGATTATAATGATCTCTGAAAACATAATAATCTAGCTACTCAGTGTGTGTGTGTGTGTGTGTGTGTGTGTGTGTGTGTGTGTGTTAGAGGCCCGGTGCACAAATCCATACATGGGTGGGGTCCTGCCAGCTTGGCCAGAGGGATGGGATATGGACAATTGTCCCGCCTGCCTGATGGTCGAACTCCTGGTTGAGAGACAATTTGCATGTTAACCTTTTATTTTATAGTATATACACTGAGTGGCCAGATAATTATGTGTTCATTCAGAGATCATAATAATCTGGCCACTCAGTGTATAAAAGTTCCATAGGTGATGATGGTGGTACCTGAAATGGAGAAAATGAAGTGGAGAAAATGGATGTGGAAACTGACTGTTACAAAAATTATATTAGATTTCTTCCTCCAAAATCAACATAAATTCTAGATGGTTTAAAAGATAAGTGTAAACATTTTTTTTTTTTTTTTTTTTTTTTTTTTTAAAAAAACCTTCTTGTATTGGCCAAGTTCTCTTTGCCTACCTAAAAAACAAACAAAAAACCCCCAAGAAAATATTTTGCACCGAATACCTAAAAGGGAAGTGTGCGAGTTAACACGTGGAGATACAGAAAGGCTGGGAAGGGCGTTCCAGGCTGTGGGAACCCGTCGCAGCAAAGGTCCGGAGCCTGAAAGAAGGAAGGCAAAAGCGTGCCCAGTCTCTGGAGAGGGTTGGGAATCCAACTTCGACCTCTGGGCGCCCACAAGGAATCCGGGGCTGAGTCCCCGTCCGCTCCACAGGCCATCGTAATGATGTCAAATAGCACTTTTTCCATATATGGTACTTAGTCTCTGTTCTTCTGCTAGGATGACATGGGACAGGGAAAACGGCTCGCGGGGCGGGGTGTCAGAATCCCGGACCTTCCCAGTCCGCTCCCGCCAGCCCGACCTCGCCCCCGCCCCCGCCCCCGCCCAGGCAAGGCACCAACATCCCAGCCCTGAATGGAGGGCCTCCTCCTTCTGATTGGACTCTGTCCGTGTCAATCTGCCCCTAGAACCTGGCTGTCCGTTGAACCGCCCCAGTAGGAAGCGCGGGGGAAGGTGGAGAGAGCATAGAGGTTGGAGCGGACGAATCCCCGCCCCTCCGGGCCCAGAGGTACCGCCCCCATCCATTCCCATAGGCTGACATGTCCGTCCATCAGGTCGGAGTGGCTGAGACAATCCGGGGGCGGGGTCGTCCCTCCAGGCTCCGCCTCCGAGCCGGCGCCCGGGCGAGGAATGGGCGGGCGGCGGAGAGGGCGGGGCGGGAGGCGGCGAGGAGCCGAGCGGGTGCGGTGAGGCGCTCAGATCCCCGCGGTTCCTGGGCAGGGCACGGCACGGAAGCAGAGCCAGGCTGACCTGCCGCAGCTCCCGCCTCGCGCGCTCGCCCCACCCCGCCGTCGCCCGAGCGCTCGAAAAAGCCCTTTCGGGAGAAGCAGCGCCTGTTCCCCGGGGCCGATCCAGGTTCAGGTGAGCGAACCCGGCCGGGCGGTCCCGCCCCGGGGCTGGCGGGTGCGGACGGCGGCGACGGGGCGCGGGCGTCTGGCTGGCGAGCCGACGTGTGTGCTCGGCCCCGGCGTGGCCGGCGACCGGGGACCAGCGCGGGCGGGCGGGCGAGCGGGCGCGGGCGCTGCGGGCCGGGCTGGCACCGCATCCTCCCCGGAGGGGCAGCGGGACCCCCCTGCGCGATGCCCGGGAAGGCGCGGCTGGCAGCGCGGGCTCGGGGAGCAGCGGGAGGCGGTCGTGGCCAGCGTGCTCCCCGGAAACCCTTCATCTCCGGCCCCACCCCCGCCTGGCTCCCTCCCGGCCGGGCACCGGGGAGCCTCGACCTCCCCCTGCCGCCGGGGCGCGCGCCCCGCCCTCGCCTCGCCTCGCCCGGTGCCCAAGTTGGGCAAACTTTTTAACCCCTTCCGGGGCGCCGCTGCGCCCGGGACCCACACGGGGGGTGGGCGCGGGCCGCGGCTCCGTGGGAAGTTTCTCAGGCCTTTTCCGAATCGGAGGTAACGGGCAGGCGGGGACCGTTTGGCAGCTGTCAGGGCGTCCTCCTGAGTCAGAATCGGACGGCCCCGCCGCAGACATGGCACTCGGCTCGGTTTCCGCCCTCCGCTCCCGACTTCCTCATTTGCGCGGCGGCGGGCGCCCGGGCCGAGGAGGGCGCTGCGAGAGGTGCGGTGGGTGGGTGCCCGGGGAAGGAGCACCCGGGCCTGCCGGACAGGAGAGAGCTCCCAGTTCCCCCCGCAGCCCCGCACCCTCTGACTTTTGATTTCTTTCGGGGAGCAGAAGGCCCGGGACTGCCCGCAGCCATCGCTGCCTCGCAGGCATGCACCTGATTCCGCCGCACCAGGGGCCGCCCCACCCGGGCGGGGCCGGGGTGGGGGTGAGGGTGGGGGAGCTGCATCCTGTGCCTCTAGGACTGGGCCGGGGCTATTGCATCGTTCCTGTTTGGGCCAGATCTGGGGCTGTTTTCTACACCCCCAGCCCTTCCTTCCCGTGCAGGGGTCCTCACCGCATCCTGTCCTGGGGCCACGCCCTGCTAGAGCAGGACTGCACCCATCGCCCATCCCTCCACACGGAGGACCCTGCGGGACGGGGATGCCGGTTGTCTAGAGGTGGAGGTGGCGGCCGCGGCAGGGTGAGCGCCAGGGCTGCTGTCTGCGGCCCCACCCAGCCCCCACCCAAAAGCCAGGTGTGGGGAGAAAGGTCCCTGGGAAGTCCCGGGTCTTGCAGACAGGCTGCTTGTCTTATCACTGCGCTCTGTGCTGGGTTTGACAGGATTTCAAAGTAACTGTTGAGGAACTGTGGACGGGAAGAGAGCCGTAGCGCCTTCCTGCAACACTGTGGCCATTTCCACTGTTTGAGGCCCTCCTGGTAACTCACCTGGTTATTTTATTTTATTTTTTTTGGTAGGAAGAGAGGCTGCTTTAAGGCTTATTTAGACAATCACTCGACTCATATTAGTTTGTATACAGGGCTGCTGGGGTGAGGGGAGAGTGCATAGATGTGTAATTGAGCAAATATTTAACTGGCTTCTCTGTGCCAGGGACTCTGCCAGGTGGTAGAGGGGGTGTGAGGTTGAGTAAGACCTGGCCCCTGCCCTTGGGCCCTTAGGGGAGAGCTGAGCCACATTTGTGGATGACTCTGATGTGAGGCGAAGATGACAGAGACCCCCAGAAAGGTGCTGTGAGTCATGGGGATTCGGAGGAAGGAGCCAGCCCTCCCTGGGAGACGCATGGGCCTCTGCCGCTGAGGAGTTCACAGCCCTGAAGGGGAAATAGTGGCCCAGTGACTGAAGTACAAAGGCGGCCTCTGATGAGTGTCCACAGACAAAGGACTCGAGGAATTCCAAAAGGGGCCATTTCTGTCTGAGGCCTCGAGGAAGGAGGAAGGAGCGCACTGCCGGTTTGCAAACAGGGCAGGCGCTGGGTGTTGGAAAGTGAGGACTCATTTAGTGGGTAATTGAGGGGTAATTAAAAGCGTCAAGAGATTGCTCAGTGTAATTTGAGAGCCACTGTGCCCCCCAGATGGCTGTGGGGTGACACCAAAGAGCTCTGTACTCTTCACACTCAGCAAGTCCTGGCAGTGCCCGTGGGCAGATCCAGGTGCCGGCAGATCCAGGTGCCCAGATTGGCAGGCTCTGCTTGGGGAAGGGCCGCCCTGTGAGGTGCATTCTGCGGCTGCTTGTCTGAGGAGCAGAGGAGGGGAGAGGAAAGAGAGGGTCAGAGCCCTGGCATTCTATCTTTTTATTATTAAACTTTTTAACCCAGGGGCTTGGAGATGGGACAACTTCTCTCTTGCAGGATGGAGGATGCATGTTAATCACAGCCTGCCTTTCGCCTGTTCTTGGTCCAGATAAAACAAAACAAGGATCTGTTAGCTTTTTAAAAGGAAAAGAAGCGCAGGGAAAGGCAGCATTGTTGTGTAGCCTGGTAGGGTATTGCTAGGGACCAGGCTAGCTGTGCTTTCTTCACTTCCTCTTGTAGCTAATCCTTCAGTAAAGTACTTAAGACAGCCCTTACCAGCTTGACATCTTTATTTCAAAAGGAGAGGAGGGGCTGGCTGTTGTTTTCCTCAGAGGCGGGCCTTTTGCTTCTCTGGGGGGGGGGGGGGGGGGGGGGGAGAGAAAGAGAAACCCAAGCAAAGGAAAAAAGAAATCCAAGCCCTAACAGCTTCCTCCCAAGCATCATGTTCCAGAAATATTTAGAATAACAAAATCTGTGTGTCCTCTTAATTAAACAAACGTCTAATTTGCTGAACATTAAAGAGCATCTCTGCCGCAGGGGCAGGAAGTGCATTTTCTCTTTGTGCAGCCCCAGAGAGTCACTGCCTGGGCCTTAACCCTTAAGTCACTGCCTGGTGCACGGGGCCTCCGGGCTCAGGTCCTCCAGTGGCTGAGTGCAGCCCTGGCTGCCCCTGGGCAGCGGTGCTCCTGTGACTTACAGAATCCCGTTCTGAGAGCTGAGAGCTGGGGATCGCGGGGCTTCAGAACAAGGCTCCAGCCCTGACCCTGCCACTAGCTTTCTGACCTTAGGCAAGGCACACAGCCCTTGTGGGAATCCTGACGGCTTCCCTACAGGGTGAGATGTGAGAACTGAAAGGGCCTATGTAAGTACGTAGAGTGGCTATATAACATTTTAAGGTAATATATAAACGTTCCATCTTAATTCCCTGGGTTGTCAGGGAGGACACAGAAGAAGGGGTGGATGGTTTTCCTGGCTGCTGGCTCAGAGCCCTTTCTACTTCCAGACAGGTGTGCTGGTGCCTGTGGGTGTGTGCACGCAGCACTCGTGGTCTCTGAAGTCTCAGTGGTTCTGGGTTCCAGCCGCTGATGGCTGTGGACTCACTTGCTGAGCGTGTACTGAGCAGCCTCATTTCCGGGCCCTGGCCTGGGTAGAAGGTTCACAAACTAACTGCAAGTTTTAGTTCTAAACCATGGTTTCCAGTGCGAGCACATCGCCAAGACAAGAGCCTCGAGTGTCTGGAGATCTGGCTTCTAGCTCTTGCTGAGGGAACATTTGATTTTGGTAGAAAATGCCATTATTATTATTTTTTATTTTATTTTTTTTTTTAAAAATATATATTTTGTTGATTTTTTTACAGAGAGGAAGGGAGATAGAGAGTTAGAAACACTGACGAGAGAGAAACATCAATCAGCTGCCTCCTGCACACCCACCACTGGGTATGTGCCGGCAACCAAGGTACATGCCCCAACAGAATCGAACCTGGGACCCTTCAGTCCACAGGCCGATGCTCCATCCATTGAGCCAAACCAGTTTTGGCAGAAAATGCCATTATTGCCTACAAAGACATTATACCAGTTTGTGAGCCCACTAATTATGCACAAGAGAATGGGGAAAACTGACAAATTCAGTCATTTTAATTTCTCCAATATGCCCCAGTTTCTTAGGTCCTCTCCAGCCCTATTGATGGGCATATGGGTTGTAACAACTCTCCTTTTTTTTTTTAAAATCCTCACCCAAGGATACTTCTCCATTGATTTTCAGAGAGAATGGAAGGGCAGGGGAAAGAGAGAAACATCGATGTGAGAAAGACACATTGATTGGTTGCTTCCTGCATGTGCCCTGACAGGGCCTAAGGCTGCAACCAAGGTACATGCCCTTGATGGGGTTTGAACCCAGGACCCTTCGGTCAGCGGGCCGACTCTATCCACTGAGCCAAAGCGGCTGGGCACAATTCTCCTTTTTGAAGGTAGTTTGGTGGCAGTATTTGTCAAAGCACAGTCCTTCTGTCTGAATTCTAGGAATGCACCCCACAGATCAACACAAATGTGCAAAAGGAAATGTTGAGGATATTGTTTGCAGCATTGTCATGGACAAAGACAGGAAACAAGCTCACTGTCCATCAGAAAGGGCAAATAAATCATGGCACAGCTGTGCAGGGGCAGTCCCCACAGCCCTTAAAAAATGAGGCCGATCTATATTCCTGCTAGGTCATGCTCTGCGGGATATGTTGTAAGTGGAAGGAACTAGATGTGAAGTAGTATAGATGGTGGTCCCTTCGTGTGAAACATGCTATGTCACCTTGGCTCTGTGCCTGAAAAGATAGCAAGATGCTGGTAATAGTGGTTGCCTCTTGAAAGGGCCCAGGAAGCAAGAATGGGGGCGTGGGAGGGGGTGAGCATTATTTTCACTGAATGCCTCTTTATATGTATTGCCCTTAAATCATAAAACAAACTTTAAAATTTTCTTATTTTTATTCCCTATAAAAGTAAGGGGGTCTGCTGGCCAGTCTTGCAGGTCTCAGTTTTAAAATGCATCGCTCTAGATTCCAAGTTTCCTATTGAGTGCGTACTGCATGCAAGGAAGGAGGAGAGGTTTTACAAATGGACTGACTTGCTCTTGTGGCTGGAACATTCTGGGTGCTGTTTTCTTCTCCGTGACGTCATATTATCACCAGAGTAACCCATAAGAAATGTCTACTCTGATCCACTCCCTCGTATTCTGGAAAATGGTGGATGATTGCTTTACTTTGCTGTATGTGTCTGGAAAGTATTCCAGGATGACCTTTTGCCAGGTTTCCCACAGTTCCCTTGGCTCCAAATTACCTGACCAGAAGTCTAGACCAGGCCTTTAATCCCTTGGGTCCTCTAACCTTAAAGTCATTTCAACCACTAGTGTGCCCCTTCCCACTCCATCCCGGTGTCCCTCAGACATCTGGCCTGTGGTTCTTATGCATTAACAGTGGAAAGGCCCATATTCTTGAGAAAATGTGATCAGAAGAGTGTTTTGACTTTGAGGACCCCCACTCCCTTCTTCAGGAAGCCCATCTTCGTCTTGCATGGTGTGGGCACTGGAGAAGCTGCCAGCTCTCCTCGCTGCCGAGTTAGCTCTTTTCTGTGGGCAAGGCAGTGGAAGACCCCCGTCAGGGTCTCTGCCAGGCCTGTGCCCCTGCCAGGCAGCCTCTGGCCTCCGGGAGGAATGGCATGAGTCACCCATGAGTATACGGAATGAGCCTAGGTCTAAAATGGGCTTGCCACCACATGGGCTCCAAGGCTGGATGCTGGCCTGCCAAATCCCCCTGCCCCCACCTGCCCCTCGTGCTTTGATGGTACCAAATAATTGGGAAGCAGGAGGGAGCTGCCCTCTGTGTCTGATGCATGTCTCTTTAAAAAGTAACTTAGGCTGGCTGCTCTGTTGGAATTTCTCAGGCCCCCATTCTGCTGACTAGTACCTCAGGCCCGAGGTGATTCAGCACCCAGAACGGGACACAACATCCTGGCCTTTGGGCAGGTGGGCCCAGAAAAGGCTCTTGACTGGCTTTTGGCTGAGGGCAAGGCCCTCTTGGGAGCTTCTCCCCAGCCTGACCCTCCAGGTCTCACAGGGCCCTTCTTCCTCAGCTCGGTTGCTTACTCCACTAGGAACCTTCCTGCTGAGGCTGGAGGGAGCCTTGCAAGGCCTTCCGGAACTTGCCACCGAAGGGTGTGGCTTCCTGCCCGGGCAGGTTGGGCTGGGCCCCTGGAGAAGTTGAAGGTGGAGCTGCTCTTCCCCCACTTTCCAATCTTTGCTTCCGTGCTGGTCCTTAGGGCCCTGCAGTACTACCCAGAGGAACTAGGGGCCTCTGAGGAGGTCCCTGCTCACTTCCGAGGACATTTCTCTACCGTTTGGGAACTAGTGTCTTAGGGTCCTTTTCCTTTCATTTGAACTCTAATGCTTAAGAGAAAAATCAGCAGAACAATAAAATGTCCCTATTGAATTCACTGAGAATTAGACAATGCCCGAGCTGGAAGGGATATTAAGGACACTGTAATTTTTCTCCCTTAATTCCAGAAGGAGTGGTTTGCCCAAGCTCATCTGTCTGCGAGTTGGTAGAAGAAAGCTTTGGCCCCTGGTTTCTCTCACCCCCAGTGCCTCTCTCTCAAATATGCGGCCTCCTTTAAAAGTGTTTTGAACTGTTATCATCCCTTTTATGCGCTGTTTAGCCAAGTAACACATAACTTAGCTCCTTTAATCTTTCCTCAAGAGTCTATTCTTCCCCACCCTTAATCTTTTTCATTTTTGGGGTGGGCACTAGGGTTAAGAAATGGGGTGGGAGGTGTTTCTCGGGTTTCTCTGAACTTCTTCCAGTTGGACAGGCCATTTAGGCTGGAAGTTCCCACAGCTCAAAAATCAATATTTCACATGGGGTCGTGCCAGGCAGCAGGGTGGGCCCTTCTGAGAGCAGTGGCTTTCCAGTGTTCCTCAGCCAGTCCTCATTTCTAGTCATTTTAAGTAGTTTAATGTCTTGGGTCAGTGATCGGCAAACTCATTAATCAACAGAGCCAAATATCAACAATACAGCGATTGAAATTTCTTTTTGAGAGCCAAATTTTTAAAATTTAAACTTCTTCTAACACCGCTTCTTCAAGATAGACTCGCCCAGGCCGTGGTATTTTGTGGAAGAGCCACATTCAAGGGGCCAAAGAGCCGCAGTTTGCCGACCACTGTCTTGGGTGATCGATTTGCTGTATTTTCAGCATGAAACCTACAGTAGAGGGACCAAAACAAGGGCTTTGGGGTCAGATGGAACCAGAACTAGACCCCCACCTTGTCTTCTAGCTGTTACACTGGAGCCTCAGTTTCCTTATCCGCACCATGGAGATTCCTGCCTTCTTAAGCTTGTTGTAATTAACATAGAAATATGTGTTAAGTGAAGTGCTTCTTTTCTCTCTTCCCTTTTTCCTCCTTTTTTTTTTTTTTTTTTTCCTTCTCGTGTTATCACCAACATCATCGGATGGAAGGAAAGAAATGTTCAGGTTTTAAAGATTTAAAATTTGTCTAACAAGCCTGTCCCTTGACCACAAGGCGTGGTGACGAAGATCACCGAGGAATCTGCCAGAAGATTTCCTGGGCTGGATGCTGAGGTTTCCAGGCCTGCATGCAACCTTTGCATTCTGATCACACGATACAATTCAACGTATTACATCTGCGCTGGTTATGAGCTGGCTCAAGCAGTTTAAAAAAGCTTGCTACAAAGCACCACCTTTATTTAGAGATGTCTGTGTTCAAAAGCCGCCGCGCTTCCTGTGTTTGGCCTTAAGTCACTGGGCTGGAGAAGGCAGCTTCCTGTCTGATAAACATAAAGTCAGGCATTTGGAACAGTTTGGGTGACTTCATCTAACTGGGCTGGACGGGGAAGAGGATTTAGAACCCACTGGACTGTGAAGAAGGACCCGGAGGCCAGAGGCGGGCTCTCTCCCTGGCTGGATCTCAGAGTTGTAGGAGCGGCGTTTCAGGCTCACTGGTACCTTTGCCTGTAGGCCGGGGGATATGGAGGCCCAGGCAGCCTAAGCTTTAGAGTGCCATTTCGTAGTGATCTCTCCATTTTACAAAATTTGGATGCAAGGTACTTACTTGTCTGGAAATCTCTGGGGTGAGAAAGATGGTGGCAAGGAGCTGTTTTAAAGATTTGGTCTATTTTTTAATATTTAAGCCAACTATTGGGTATGAAAGTATTGACCTCAAATTTTTTTTGCGAAGTCAATAACCGAGGCTCCTTGGGCCCCTGCTGCATGGCCTAT